AGCTCCAATTTGATTGGTTGACTGCTATGCAACTTCCAGGAGTCAGTGTGCACTTGATTTTAATCAGTCTGCTAGGAAGGAGTGTTTACAAGTTCCCAAGGCTGCTACAACGAGTGCTTTAGAGGAAGAACCAATTGCTGTATTCGGCAAAGTGTACAAGGTGAATGGCAAAACAATCTTTAAAAGATATTTGAGAGGCAATTAGCAGCAACTAAACATATTATTCTATAGTCAGGACTGTTTACAGAAATAACTGCTACTTATTACTTTTAGATGGATGAAATTTCTGACCACAAAGCTGCAAAACATTTTAGACAAATTGCTTAAGTGTTTTCTGTGTAAGCTTTCACAGAGATTGCTGTATCTTGAATGTGCCACAACTTTGCACATTGGCTGATTATTATAGCATCATCGATTTCACATTTACCTGCCTCTAAACATCACATAAAACAAGAAACTCTGGTTGGTTGCTTTTTAATGTCGATCAGATGGGCTTTCCGTCTCTAAGTGGCTTATTATTGGTCAGAACAACCCATATTGTGGCAAATTTAAAATGTTTTACTCTGCAATACAATCTATAGTATAATTTACTGATGCTGCTTTGCACAACATCTTGATTTAATAACAATCTGATGGCAAACGCTATACCTCTCATGAGAAGCTGCATCAATGAACTCATTACTCACCTTCATTCTGTTAGAGCTATAGTTACAGTATGTGTGGGCACTGTGTTGATGTCTACATCAAGGGATGAACAATGGTTTAAGGAAAACATAAGATGTTGCTGGACTGCTGCTCTGATGCATTTTGGAAATAAGCCACATGAGAGCTGGGCTGGAGCTCAAATGAAACTAAGGGCTGTACAGAAATATCAGCAGTTTTACCACAGGGAGACGAATCCTGCAATATCAACACTAAATGTTGACTGGAAATTCTCCATCTCAGAGGTTTGATTTGTAGAGAATGGAACTTAGAAAATACCTTTATTTCCAGAAAGATATTATTGAATTAATAGAGTACATATACATGACAACAATGCACTAAAAGCGTAAACAACAACATTGTCAAAACGATCCCCATTCACACAGATATGCAAAAATGACTAAAAATGCTATATTATGCATGCCAGGCCAGTAGTTGGCGATGTCACTTTGTAAAGAAACACTACACTTTGGCGCACATATCTATAGACTGAACAAGTGATGTGCCTGTGCGTGACGTCTCCATGTAAACTACAAAAATACAAGATAAAAACAGTATCATTATCAAAAACTTGCACTTGATATCTGTTTTTCAAAAGGGGCCTTCCAAAGGGGCTCGACAAATGTATCAAAAAAAAAAAAACAGGCAAACAAAAAAAACTAGAAATAAGCACTAAATTAAGATAAAATAACTAAAAATCAAGCTGGTTCTTATTTTAAAGGGGTCATGAACTGAGAAATCAAAATTCCCTTGATCTTTTGATATACAAGAGGTCATTGTGCTATAAAAAACATTCTGTAAGTTTCAGAACTCAATTTTCTTGTTTAAAATATAAACAATAACTTTCTCGTAATAATGACTCATTTTCTCGAAATAATGAGAAACTTTCTCGTAATAATGACTTATTTTCTCAAAATAACGACTTATTTTCTCATAATGAGAAACTTTGTTAAAGCTGCAGTCTGTAAGTTGTGCCTCTTTGTCGCCATCTCTGTTGGAAAACCTGGAATTGCAGCTGTGTGGACAACTCATTATATACACTATAAACACTTTAAAGGAGACAGACATGTAGATGTTTGTGAAAGATGTTTTCTCTGTTTTGGAGGAATCATTATTTTTAAATCATACCCTATTTATTGCATCAAAATTTGTAAATACTTTACTATATTTAAGGGTGGATAATTTTATCAGTTTATTGCAACAATACATAACTACAATAACTTTGTCTAGTGCTCTTATTAAAGTTTATAGCATGATTATTGAAAATTTAACTATACTGAGTGACATAGCATAGACTTCTTCATGGC